AGACAGCAGCGGCGGCCAATCAGGCGGGCGGGCTGGATAAATGACCCTGGCGGGCCGTATCCGGCCCGCGGGCTGTAGTTTGAGAACCCCTGATTTAGGCCCTTTACTTCTTACATAATATAGTTTGATTTGTAAAAGAGACAGATTAGGTCCTTTAGGTCTTTCACACCATGACCCAGCCTCCTGCTTTGGGAGAGCTGCTTAGTAATTGTTGTTGCCACCACCTATCTCCCAAGAGATGGATCACCTGGTTAAACCCAGTGGGTGCAGGAGACAGGGCCATAACACCCCATGTTGCTTTGTAGTGATGAAAAGGTCAAAAAACAAATGCTGAAATAATTTCTATAGCAGCACCTACTAATCATATAGCACAAAGTCATGTGGTTAAAGGAGTCAAACCTTACTTTCTTTCTTGAGAAATATAACAATCTCACAAGAAATTTACAAAATCAAGTGTTAGTAATAAAAAGTAAGTGTATATTTATATAAAACTTCTTTTTAACTTTAAATACTAAAATGCAAATATTTGGTGTTGGAGAAGATGAATTACAAAGCTGTCCAGAACATGGTCAGCAGCTTGGTTAAAAACGAAAAATGGAAAGAAAAGAAGTACTCTGGGCAGACCACAAGATGGTGGTGGTGTGCTACAAATCAGCGCTTTCAGGGAAAATCTCAGAAGAGAAGCTGCAGAGGTCTAAAATTATTATTATAGATCACAAGGCTATTCTAGAGAAAAATGATTTTGGATATGGCTGTAGTATGCATAAAAGCTAAAGCTATACAGTTTCTTGTACAGGGAAATAAGAACAATGAGACTCCTCCGAACATAAATCAAGAACCTTGCACAAATTCTTGGCTAGAATGGTTTTATCTATTTCTACAGAAATAAAAGCCTCTTGAAACAGATGTCCTCTCTGCTTCAGTTATGTGGGCTTTTCCTGTTTCTTCTTGAAGATCCCAATTATGTTAGTTCTGAGGCTGCTAAGGAGGCAGAAGAAAATTATGCATTGTTTTTAAAAGGACTAGTGTTTTTCAACCTTGGCAGCTTGAAAATGTGTGAACCTCAACTCCAAGAATTCCCCAGCCAGCCATGGAGTCCACACATTTTCAAATTGCCAAGGTTGAAAAACACTGGACTAAACTTTCCCTATCCCCAACTAAAGGAGAGGCTGGAGTATCTGACTCTGACTACATGACAGAAAGTACTTCTCCCTCATTGGAATGTACTATATATCAGGAATGTCTGAGCCTGTCTGGCAATCAGACTACTATCACAACACCATGATTTATGGCTTAGTATGTTACCTTGGAATAAAGACGTTATGAGATGCAGAGAATGCTAAATTCAAACCCAATGGTTTTTTATTTGTTTTATTTTATTTTATTATTTTAATTTTATTATGATTTGTTTGTTTGTTTGTTTATTTTAGCTTACCCTCCAAAACACATACTTGGAAAAGCAGCTCAGTGAGAGGTAACTGGGGGCTGAGAAATTGCTTTCCCTCCCAGAATTGCTCCTCAGAGAACTTGCAGTTAACTTGCAAGTGGCAAATTTAACGTTCTGTGGAGATCCAGTATGGTATAGTGCAGTGTTTCTCAACCTAGACAAGTTTAAGATATGTGGACTTCAACTCCCAAAATTCCCTAGCCAGCATGCTGGCTGAGGAATTCTGGGAGTTGAAGTCCACATATCTTAAACTTGTCTAGGTTGAGAAACACTGGTATAGTAGTTAAGATGTTGGTCTAGCATCAGGGAGACTCAGGTTCAAGTCTACCTCATCCCCCTAAACTCACTGGATGACTTTGGGCCAGTACCTCACAGGGATATTGTTGCAACGAAAAATGGAAGGCAGAGCTCTACAGTATGTATGCCTTCTTAAGCTACTAAACAAAAGGTAGACACACAAATAAATAACAAACACAATTGGTTGCAACCATTTCTCTCAGATAAATGAACAACAAAGCTTACAACAAAGCTGTTCAGGATAATTCACATGCCTTAATAAAGCAAGAGAAGGAGGGAAGAAAAAGGTTTTAAATGCTGCAGACAGGAACGCCTCATTCAATTGCTGAAAATACAAGCTGCATTTTGTTACGTAAGCAAGAGTAAGGGGGATAAATTAATTAAACTATTTCTTACCCAGCAACCAGTACATATTTTCCATCTGGCTGATCTTTTAACCTTTCCAGCAGAGAAAGACGTACTTTGGCTTTGGCTTGGCCATAGATTTCAATTTCATCTGTGAGCAATCCTATCTCCTTGGCAAGAATATGAACAGGTTTTGGAGCCTGTCCTCGGGAAATTTCAATATCACTGCAGAAGCAAAAAATAAATAAAAAAATAAAAAACATACATATGTGTGGGTGGTTATAAAATTGGCCATAGAGAATTTATACTTTTAAGGACATTTGGATCTTTCAAATCATTTTCTACCTTCAGGTTACCTTTGTTTAAATGATTTTGGGGGAGGCTTTTTCTGCTCCAGGAACAGTGAAGAAACAGTTGATTTGGTTGCTAGAGAGGCCCTTTTCTGTGGCTGAACTGAATTATGAAGCTGCCTACAATAGGTGTGTTACTTGCCTCTTCTCTCTCAGCTTATCACTTCTGGCTAGCCAAAATGGAAAGTTTTCAGTGGACTTCCTTCACATGTATGTTTGGTTTCTTTCAGACATTTAGAAAAACATATAATACATCCCAGTGCAGGGATCCAGTACTACAGCTACCTCAATAGAAGGCCATCCAGCCACAGGTTAAACCCCTCCAGTCAAGGTGAATCCACCATCCACCAAGGCAGTTTCTTTGATTGCTGGATAGATTTTATCATTAGGAAAAATTTCCTGATGTCCAACCAAAATCTACTTCCCTGTAATTTAAGCTAATCGTTTTTTGTCCTATCTTTTCTTTTGGAACTATGATCAAATTTGTCCCATCTTTTACTTGACACCTTTCAGGTACCGGAAGATAGCTATTATATCTTCCTGTAGTGTTCTCTTCTCCAAGCTAAACACAGCCAATGGTTCCAACCATTCTTCCTATGTTTTTTCTACCAGGCCCTTTATTGTTTTGGTTGCTCTCTTCTGGGCATGCTCCAGTTTGACAATGTTCTACCTAATGTGTGTGCCCAGGACTGGATGCAATATTCTAGGCATGGTCTGGCTAGCAGAGTGTATAAAGGAGCAATAATTTATCTTGATCCTGGTACTATATTTCTGTTGATGCAGCCTAGGATTGCATTTTCTTTTTTGCAGTTCTATCAGACCGCTGGTTCATGTTTGATTTGTGATCCACAAAGACCCTTAGATACTGTTTTGTGTATTGCTGCCCAGTATGGTTCCCAAGTTCCCAAATGCAGGACTTCATATTTGTTCTTGTTGAAATTCATCTTTCTGGTTTCTGCCCATTGTCCCAGACTGCTGTCATGTCCCCCCATAGCCTTCTCTCCTAAATATAACCAATGTCTCCAACTGTTCCTCATATGTTTTTCCTTTTAAGTCCCGTATGATCTTGGTTGCTTTCCTTAGATAAACTATAATCCTCTATGGAACAGGGCAAAAAACAGTGGCTTTCCATGTATTTCTAAATCCAGTTCAAATTATTCTTTGTGACTTGTAGTACGGCACAGTTCAGATATCAGTACTGGGCATGAATCTTCATGGAGAATCACTAGGAATCCCATGTAAGAACATGAGTGGAATGTATGAAATAAATATTTTAAAAGTTTAGGGTGAATAGAGGGGAGAAATGATCTTGTGCTTTTGTAATTTCATAGGAAATTAGTCTAATTAAAACTCAGTGCAGAGCAAGGCTAAAGTAGATGTGAATGAATTTATTTGTATAGCATTTTCTCAGCATTTTTCAATAAAAAAACCTCATTTGTTTTAGTACCATACTGCATGTTATTCATGCAATACTTGAGGATACCTTATATTCTGAAGATATACTGTAGTTGATTCTTATTATTCGCAGTAGTTATGTTCTATAAAGTTGCAGCGAACCCTGAATGAGTGAATACTGAACCATTGCTGCTAGGCGGAATACAGGGTCAGGTTCCTGTGAGCCTCTGGTCACAAAATTTGCATCAACTGATCAATACATAACTTGTTTTATGTGTGTTTCTGTTTAAAGACACCTTGCTTAATGTCTATTTCAGCACAAAAATGCAAATAACGCGGCACTGTACAGACCACAAAAACGATACTTGTTTGTAGTATGAGAGCTGAAACAAGAAGGCAGAATGTTGCCTTGTTTGACCTCAGCTGGGAACATGCATGTTGGGTGACTCTCTGCACATTACCCCGAATGACTGCAAAAGCACCGCAAGTATTGGTTTTGGGGTTGCAAATAAATTTTAGTGAGTAGGCAAATTTACAGATACTGAATCTGTGAATAATGAAGATCAACTGTACTTCGTATTTTCCATCTGGTCACCAGTAGGTTTAGTGGTTTACATTTAGGGATAAAATAGACAATTGTGAAGTTCCAGTGTAGCCAAAGAAACAGAAATCCTATCACATATTCTAATCTAATCCATCACACACACATGCACACACACAAACACACACAGTCTCTGATTTGTGTTTCAAAATTGGTATGCTTTCCATTTTTGATGCATAGATAATACATTTATTAAATCAGAACAAATTTCAAGACCTGGCTTTTTTCTATAACCATCTGGAAATAAATGTACAGGCAGTCCCCAGGTTAAGAATGAGTTCCATTCCTAAGCCTGTCTTTAACTTGAATTTGGATGTAAGTCAGAACTCATACTTATGAACGGGCTGCCTGTTACTAAAAATGGTGGACAGTGTTCTCCTTCCTGGAGCCAATGAACCGCTGAAGCCACACAATGTTTTCATGAGCCGCTGAAAACTGCTGAAAACAGACTGTATTTTAAAAACGTGTGGCTTCAGAGGTTCATGAAAATATTGTGCGGCTTCGTGGTTCATTGGCTCCAGGAAAGAGAAACCATCTGCCATTTTTAGTAACAGGCAGCTCATTCGTAACCATGAATTCTCCGTAACTCAGACATGCTTAATCCAGGGACTGCCTGTACTTTTAGGGGGCTTTTGCGCTAGAGAAAATGTTTTTTTAAAAAGAGAATTTAGCTAATCCAAAAAGTATTAGGATTCTGTATTAAGAAAACAAAACTCAGCCAACTATCTGAAGAAATTCTCAAACATTCCCATATGAAGTTTCCCAGTCAGGAAAGTTATACTGGATTCTCTCCAGCCTGGTTCATACTCAATTATTCTAGAGAATGATGAAGACTTTCATGTTCTGTCATATCATGTGATACAATCATACATACAGTAGATGTAATTGCTTGAAGAAGGAAGTTACCTCTGTGTTTAAGCAAATCACATATTCGATTGTAGCCCTCTTTCTCCCCTTCCTATACTTGCCAAAGTGCCATGTGTGAAATGGGCTTCCTGCTCCCCTACTCATATTGCCTTTAGCAGTAGTCTAACCTGAAATAAAATGCATATTTTAATATGCAACTTTCCCTCTGTACTAATCTGTTCTGAGAAAAAGAGTGGAGATCACTGCAAAATGAGCCCTCAGTAAAATGATGTGAGGAAGTATGCCAGATGGCTGCTACTGTTTCCCTGGCCAATCAAGATTCAAACACGTTTCAACATAGGGAGATAGGAAGCTGCCTTCACCTAATCAGACTACTGGTCCATCTAGCCCATGTGACTGACACTGGCAGCAGCTTTCTAAGATTTCAAGCAGGAATTCTGAAGATTGAACCTAGGATCTATTGTGTGCAGACCATGTGCTCTCTCCCTGAGCTGTATCCACCCAGTCATGAAGGTGCTGCACCACAGCCAGAATCTTGAGACAAGAACAAAAGCAAGCTGCATCAGCCTGAAATCAAACCTCCCCAAATTGAGATTCACAGAGAGAAAGTATTTTACAAGATTCCCCTGAAGAATGACACTTCTTTTTTATACCAGGGAGCTGATAAATCTGTTTGTCTCTTTACCAATGCAGACCAGGGGATTATTCCTTTCAATCTCTCCAGGAATTGGGCAAACTTGGGAAGTAGCAATCTGGTCAAGGCTTCAGATGTGCTCCAGATTTGTTGGAGCAAAAGTTTCAATTTTCATATATCCTGCAGTTCAGCCCAACTCAGCTTGACTAAGCCATCCTCAAGCATTCTGCATATTCCAGGCACATGGGTTCCTGTTTATGTCAAGCAAAACAATTTGTCTGGAAGTTTATCACAAATATGCAGTTCTCATTCATAAAAGTAAAATCTCCCTCAAGTTGAGCTTGACTCCTGGTGACTTTATGGAATGTCCATGTAGTTTTCTTTGCAACAGTATGGAAGTGGTTTGCCACTGACCTAATTTGGCAATCTAATATATCGTCCTGGGATTTCCTAGTGATCTCCAATTGAAATACTAACCAGGTTCAACCCTTTAGCTTTTTTAAGATCATCCAAGGTTGGCTAGGTGCTGGCCAATCCACATTCACCAAAAAAAAAAAAAATTAAAAACTGAAGGCAACTACTAATGACTTGACTAATGCCATCTTGCCTGCTCTAGGGTTTTGTCTCAGCAGAATGAATCATGCCATCCTTAGAGGACAAGGTAAATCAAATTAGAATAAATTAACAAGACAAACAAATTATACTCATGTTTTAGCAAATGTTTTGCTTTAATACATAGAACACTGTTTGAAAACAATGTTACATGGTTCCTACCTGGGAACAGGTGAAATAGGCTGTAGCTTCAAGCAATGGAGATTCCATTGCTTAGGCTGCTGGGCTGCTATCTGTCGCCCACTGAGTTTTACCAAGTTCTTTAAAAAAAAGAGAGAGAGAGAGAGGGAGAGACAAAAATACGGTGCTTTAATATAGTTGCAACATATAGTTTCAGTCTCATTTTTTGTGATTCATACTTTCAGAGACTATTTTTTCTTCGCAACTGGGGGATATGAAAGATGTTTTATTGTTGAGGAAGTGGGTCCTTGCTCTGTTATTTTTCCATTTTTCCATTGTTTTCAATTTACAAATCTTTTGTTTTACATTATCACTATTCCTCAGTGCAGGATAGGGAAAGTTTTGTCTCAGTACAAAAAAAGGCATCGTAACACCATCATATCGCTGGTAATGTGTCTGGAGGAAAAGATGCAAACAGAATGCTGCAAACAGAATGTCAGAAGTGCAGAAGTTATCACTGGTACCCAAACATGCAGAGACAAATTCAGACTATGAGTATTTCATTAGCACCTGCAATCCTAACTTGAGTTTGCATATCCATCTTTCCTTTAGTTCCATGTTGGGTTGAATGTCTGACCTGTGAACCTGCATTAGATCTGTCTTTTGTTTTGCTCCTGTTACATAAAGAGCCACCAAGGGACTTACTAACCTGCATGCATATCGCCAATGCCAGCTGTTCTACAGCCTCACCTAGACTGCAATCATTGCCCCTTGCTGGATGTTCATGGAAAGCATTCTGTCCTGAAAATGAAAAACAATTGCACCCGTGAATCTAGCAGCCTCTTCTTACGGGGAGATCTCCGGAAATATGCTGCAAGAAGATAATTGACACCGCTAGCTAAATTCCTGCTGAGCATATGTGCCATATGCATTGTAGAAAGCATAGAAGCACATAAACATGCAAAGAAATAGACAAAAGTGGATTGAACTATAAATCACTGTCACTGTCACTGTCACTATCTGTCTGTCTGTCTGTCTGTCTGTCTGTCTGTCTGTCTGTCTGTCTGTCTATCTATCTATCTATCTATCTATCTATCTATCTATCTATCTATCTATCTATCATTATTGCAAAGGTAAAGGATTCTTTCAGGGTAGGATTGCCAACAGACAGCATGTGTCACAAAGCACTGAGGACTTCTCGTATATTAACTTGACTGACAAGTTTTTTTCAGCCATCTAACAATGACAATAAACTACAGTGTGCTGACAAATTCACATCACAATTTGCAGATGTAAGGACTCATGATTTAATTCTACAAAGATGATTGGGAAGAACCAGGAGAAGCTTATAGGATTAGAAGCAAATTATTCCTTTTGCATTCACTTCAGAATCACCTCCTCATTACCTAGTTCTCCTGCTACTGAAAGCAGTCATTAAATCACAAATGGTGCAACATTTTTGGGGGTGGAGGACTGTACTAACAAGCTGTGTGAAACACCTTTTGCCCAGCTGCACTAAATACCATTACTGTAATACAATTACTTCCTGGTGCTTTTAAGATTTTTCTCTCTTGCCAGCTTAACCATTAAGCTGGAATTTTTTAGAGGAGCTCTGAAGAAAGGTAAATCCTCTCATCCAGGGCCCCATCCATATTCTCATCACTACCAACAAGACTCTTTACTGGAAGAGTCACCTAATAATCTCCCCAGCCTTCCCCAACTCAGTTGGATTTCAACTCCCATCACCTCCTGTCTATTCATTGGGTTGGACAGTCCCCAGCGAGTTTCAAAAAGAGATTGTGATGTTGCTTGGAAGCCTCCTGTTACAAAAAGGGAAAATAATGAAACTTTTGTCATGGCAACATACATTCTTGGATAAAGGAATTCTTTCCAGTGTTGACACTAAATAATTTAAAATATGCCACAACACAGATATCTTTTCCTTTCTTTCTGCCATATATTAATTCAATAACTGAGCACTATCTAGTTTATATGCAAAATACATCTGTTTGCTTGCAATACATGTAGAATATATTAAAAATATAGGAATTGCTTTGTAACTGTAATGAAGTCAGCTAATCACCTTTCAGGTATACCTTTCCTTTACCTGTATTGTGGCAGAAGAAAATACGAATGGCATACATCATTCAGTTCACCTTTTCCTAACAGAAAATCTACTATCTCCAAAGACCAATTCAGTAGAGTGCAACAAGAATGAAATCGGCATAACAAGGCCAAACTTCAGCTCCCTGTCTATCCAGGCATAAATCACTGAATTGCTAGGGGGCAAACCACCATCTCTCAGCTTGCAAACTGCCTCATGGGGCTGATGTAAAGAGAAATGAAAGATGTTTTGTAAACGTAAGCAAAATACTGGCAAAATACAAAGAACAGCCAGAGAAAAATAATCAAGTTCACTTTTATTCTTATTTATTTTGCTTGTAGTAAAAGGAGCAAAGGAGTGGGAAGGATATAAAGGATGGGTCAGAGTCAGCATAACTCATTTGATTAAGCCATAATAATGGCTACATTGTGGTTTTGTAAGCACAACGGATCACATGAACTAGTACTGTATCTCCATTGGGTACCCAAAAGTCCTCTTTCTTCTATCCCAGGATCTTCAAGTTGCGTATACAATTATGGAAATAAAGTATCCATATACAATTTTTAAAAAATGGTGGAAGGATGGAAATGCAAGCGCAAGCTTTTTCCTGTCTCTCTCCATGAAGCCAGAAATCTTCAAGAAGAAACATACTCATCTGTTTCACTTCACTTCTGACCACCACCCCACTGCTCCATCCTCATCATGCCTCTCCAAGTTTGGAAATATGAAGTTATGACTCAGTGAAACTTGTTGCCATGAAACTTAAATGAAAACCGACATGGTCTTAATATTGAAAAATGACACAACTTCATGTATTGTTGAAGGCTTTCATGGCCGGCATACGATGGCTGGTGTGGGTCTTCCGGGCTGTGTGGCCGTGGT